TATGAATAGCTATAATAACTATATTGCTGATTTCTGATGGTATATTGAAAGGAATAGTTAATGCTTAAAATTTTTTATATTCTAATCAATTTTGCATGCTCGTGTCTGGTAATCTGGGCAGCTGATTTGAAGGTAACAATATGTAATGAAATTACCATGGTGAATTCCTACCATCTTGTCTAGTGAAACTCTATTATCTCTAACGTTTTATCTAGTAATTATTTTCTTATTCTCTTTAATGGTTTGAAGAATCTTCCATTCTTACTTCTGGTAATCTGAGTAATGTAGTTGAGCATAGCGATATGTAATATAACAACCACTGTTAATTCGTATTATTTTGTCTTGAAACCCTGTATCACTGTAAATGTTCTTGCTTCAGTTTGTTTATGTTTGTGATACTGGTACGCTGCTATTGTTCTATTTTTTGTTTGTACCTCATTTACTACTCTCTTTAAAGTTAAAAAAAAAAAAAAAGGTAAAAAAGAAAGGGATGGAGCCAGGAGTGGCGGTACATGCCTACAATCTCAAGACTTGGGAGGCTGAGGCAGGAGGGTCACTGTGAGTTCCAACCTGGGCTACATAGTGAATTCAAGGCCTGCTTGAACTACAAAGTGAGACCCTGTCTCAAAAAATCAATCAGTAGGATGGATGAGCTTTGCCTTTACTTTATATCATTCTCTGTTTTGATATTGTGGATCTATTACTTAGGAAAATTAATTTTTACTGAAATAAGGGGAGCTGTTATTTTGAAAAGTTGTAGTACTTAAGGAAGACTAAACTGAAGTCATGAGTAACACACTTTTATCCATCGTTGCTTGCAGACCATGTATCAGCTTCCCCTGCCCCAGTGTCCTGCCTGGCGCTTTCTTTCAATCCAAGGTCACAGTTCACTTCAGAATTCATTCATTTTTCAAAGATTTAATCTTTGAGTAGCCTAGTGTTGATAATTACCTTCCTTTTAACTTTAAAGAGAGTAGTAAATGAGGTACAAACAATGAATTCATTCATTGCTTACCTGACCCTGCTTGGTGGAATACTTACTTATTGATTGACACAGCACCTCAAGTGTTATTTTATTCTTTTAAATTGCCTAGGTTTTCTTTTGCTTCCAGAAGGTTTTGTACCTGCTTACAGTAAGACACAGTTAAGGATGCGCATGATGAGCACTGTCGATACGGAGATTATAATTACATAGCCTAGTATAGTTCTGTTGTTGAGCCGTGACTTTAAGTGTCCAGGAACTGGCAAAAAGAAAAAACTCAAAGTTCTGTAATTGTTGTGACTTGACAAAATGACATATAACCACAGCCTTTTTGTTTGTAGAAATATTTTTCTGATTCTAAGTTTTCAGAACTTGTTTCATGGACCCATTTATACAGTGTACTTTCACGGTTGCTTCTTGTTTTTGGTATTTGTGCCCTGCCCAACTAAATTATAAGCTTCCTTAAGACAAGCTCCATTTTCTTTCTTTTTTTTTTCAAACTCCATTTTCTGGTATTTGTGTTCCATCTGTGCCTAGAAAATGTACACATTGTTGTGGCTGAGATGATAAATTAAGCAACAATTGCAGCACAGCCACATCTTGTGGATTATGTTACCATCATTTTTCAAAGATTTAATCTTTGAGTAGCCTAGTGTTGATAATTACCTTCCTCTTCCTCAGCAGGGAATTGTCTCTGATAGCCTTCCAAAAAATCATAATTTACTTCTTTGCATGTAGCTTTTGCTGAGTTCCGTCGTCTGGTAACCCCTAATTTCTAGTTGAGTGCGTAGTATGAAAAGTTGGAAGCTTGTTTGGACCTTCGTTTTCTGAAAGTCAGATCTTTTTAAATATAGCCTATACCTTTTCCTTTGTTGTAGGCCAGGTTATCAAGGCCTGGGACATTGGAGTGGCCACCATGAAGAAAGGGGAGCTCTGCCATTTGCTCTGCAAACCAGAATACGCCTATGGCTCGGCCGGCAGCCTCCCTAAAATTCCCGCGAATGCAACCCTCTTTTTTGAGGCAAGTGTGTGTGGGGCTGCCCTGCCAGCGTCTGCTGCCCTGCAGGGCTGCCTTGGAGCAGGAGCCCTGCGCTTACCGTCTAGACTCTTATCCAGCGTACTTATTTTGGAGCTCGGCCTTTTGAATTGTTTCCCACAAACCCAAGGGGTGTGTGCCAGTGTGTTCTTAGAAATGTGCGCCTGGAGCAGAGAGGTCATAGCCAAACAGACAGAAGACACTGGACTCAGAAATAAAAGCTCTGGTCAGCAGTGAATGTGACATACTCAAAATTGACAGAACGGAAGTGGTGGAAATAAATGTTGAATGTGCCTGTACCAAGTTGTAAGGTACTTTTAAGGCTTATAAATGTTAATAAAGATTTATAAGTGTCACAGATTTCCCTTCTTTAGAAGCAGTAGGTGGTGACATGTTATTTGTCCTGTGTTGAATTCATCACTCATGTTTGGCAAAGCCTGATTTTAAGACCTATTCTAATGAGGTGAGATACACCTTTAGTCAGTAGGAGGCCAGCTTCCTAGGATTTATTCTCACATTTTTAAAAAGGGAACTTCATAAATCTGGGGTGACAGAGTGGTGGCCTTGGAGTCAGACAAAATAGTTGTGCGCCGGCACCTTGTCGCTCTGGCTCTCGGCCCGCAAGGCCGTTTTCCAAGTATTTCCTGCCTGTCTTTGCACGGCAGCCCCACAGGATGTAGTCCTAGACATTATCATTACGCAGAGCTCTTTCCAAGTACTGAAAACTACAGTGTTCCTTTCCTCTACTTTTCTAATAACTGCAACGCACAGATTTAAAAAAAAAAAAAAGCCTTATTTTGTGAAATGAAAAGCAAATTAGTTGCTTTTCCCTTTACATGTGTTACATTGATTTTGTTTGATCTTTTCCTGTTGAATCTCTTTTCCCTTTCTAGATTGAGCTCCTTGATTTCAAAGGAGAGGATTTATTCGAAGATGGAGGCATCATCAGGAGAATCAAGCGGAAAGGAGAGGGGTATTCCAACCCGAATGAAGGGGCAAGAGTGGACAGTAAGTGTTGCTGTGAGGGGGCTGCCCCTTAAAAGTTGAAATCCATTTATGCAGATGACATGGGATTTTTTTTTAAAAGTCTGATAATGGAAATAAGCATACTGAATATATTGCAAGAATAGTTTTAGATTCAGCATTCATTTAATGGCTTCATTTAGTAAATATTAATTTAGTGTATGTGTGCCAGGCACCCTGCCGCCCTCTACAGACTCAAAAATGAATAAAAACAATCACAACCGTTAAGGAATCCTCAGGGTTTGGACTCCGTGGGGTGCCAAAAACTAACCCTAGCGTTGCCTTACGTATCTGTTCATTTGTTTCTCAGTAACCTCGTGAGATGAGCTTATTGTCCCCAGGTGAGGAAGGTGAATGCAGAGATGTCACTCAGACTGTCTGAGTTCAGAAGGTTACTAGACAGCCACAGACTGTAGTCCTCTTCAGGACTCAAACCCCTGTACGACCTTGACTGTCATGATGTGACACAGTTAATCGTTTAGATCAAAATTGATTCTACCCTAAATCAGAAGACCCGGGTTCAAGTCCTGCTTTGCGAATTATTGAGCAACCCAGAGCTCCTTCATTTCCTCTGTCGTTCACTGGGAGTAAGGACACCTCTGAGGACTGGGGTGATGGGGGACTCTTCTTCCATTCTATTCTGCTTATCACTTCATATTTCAGTCAGCATTGCCCATCGGTCCCCGTGCGCGGTGAGCGCCTGAGGACCCAAATCTCCCCTTGCCTTTTTCGGTTTCAGCTACAGTGCCTGATGCATTTGTTCAGAAAAGGCTTCTTATGTTATAAATGTCTAAAAGATGCCATTAACTGAAGCTGAAATCCTTCAAAAGGAAGTTGTGAAAAACACAGAAATATTTCCATTCAGAAAAAACAAAAAAATTAAAGCCAGCATGATTGAGCACACCCACAGTCCCAGCTACTCAGGAGGCCGAGGCAGGAAGATCACTGTGCTCTGGAATTTGAGACCAGGCTAGGCAACAGAGCAAGACCCTGACTCAAACAACCAAACAAACAAACAAAAAACTAAACCATTAAATAACAGCATGAACTATTATTGTATAAGACCTACTTAAAATGACAATTCACTTAAGACAGATAACTAGAATATTTAAATTTCTTGTTCATATTGTGTGTACTACTTTGGATCCATGTTTCATTTCATTCCCACAAGTCAAATAAATTACTTCAAATTTAGTAGTTGTCTTTTATGTTTTATTAGAAGCAGTTATAAATATTTTAACTGTGATGATAATGTGTTTAGATCATTATTATTCATGCTAAGTTTTAGATTAAATGAAGAACTCAGATGTTCATGGGAGAAATAGATCCAGGCCTGAGGTCAAGAGAGGGGATTCCAGGGCTGGCTCCAGCCTGAGCTGGCTCTGGCCTCACTTCTGGGCATTTGTGATCTTCTTAGGTGATAGGGCAGGGCCAGACCATGTCCTAACCATGGTAAGATTCTAGATTTTTGTGAAAGTTATAGGAATGATTGAAAATTATCTTTACTGTATTAACAGTCACTTAAAAAGCTTATTTATGTCTTATATTTTAAATTTTATTATGAAAATTTGCAAATGTATATACAAGTTTTTTCTTACAATATAGGAACTTCCCAGTTCAGTAATTTATGTTTTTAAACTGTAGGGTCAACTAAAAGGAAAAATCTCCTCCAATTATAGACTTCCACTATAGAAATGGACTTTGCAGTAGGCTAAGTTAAGTCTTATTTGGGGTAATGTTTTCAATAGTAGTCATATTTTTAAATTTTTTAAAAATAATTTTTAGACTTACGGAAAAGTTGCAAAACTGTTACAGAAAGTTCCCTTGTATGCTTCACTCAGCTTCCTGTAATGTTAAGATCTTACCGCGAGCCACAGGACGTATATCAAAATCAGGAAATTAACATTAGTGCAGTATTAGTGTTCTTTTCTGGTCAAAGATCAGATGTAGGATCTAGCATTGTATTTAGGTGTCTTGTTTATTTATCCATCTACATACCTATACAGCTACCTGAACCCAGGGCCTGAAGCCAGGGCCTTTACACTAAGCTACATCTCCACCCCTGCCCCTTTTAATATTTGAAACAAAATCTCCTTGACTTGTCCAGGCAGGACTCAAATATGTGATCCTCCTGCCTCAGCCCCACCAAGTGCTGGGGTTACATGTGTGCTGTCCTGTCTCTATTCCCTTCTAATGTATGAGAGGTTTTAGTCTTAGTCTTTCATGACTGAGGATTTTGAAGGCAACTGGCTATTTTGTAGAGTACCCTCCAATTTAGATTTGTTTTATGTTTTAAATGATTAGATTGAAGTTGTACATTTTTGGAAAATACCATATATGTCATGTCCACCTCAGTTCAACATCAGGAGGTCCATGATGTTGGTTTCTCATTACTAGTGGTGATATCGTAGGTCATTTGGTTAAGGTGGAGTGTGCCTTGTTTCTCTCCTGTAAAGTTACTGTTTTTCCTTTGTGATTACTAAGTATCTCATTTGGGAGAGGAATACCAGGAGACAGTGCAGATGGCTTGGTTTGTACCATATGAATCTTCATACAGCCATTCCAGCATCCGTAAATGACTTTTGTATATAACAGGTATTACTGTGGAATTTCACCGATAGTAATTTTTCTATTTCCATTTTCCCTCCATATTTATTAACTGGAATTTTACTATAAGGAAGAGCTGTCCCTTCTCCCTTATATATCTTCAGTATCATTATGCATCTGTGGATATTTATTTGCTTCTGTAAGTTTCTTTCTATTACTTTTTTCTCTCTCTCTCAAATTGCCTAAGATTTGATTATTAGAAACTCCTGTCATGTTCTTTGAACTTGCCCCCACTGAATGGGGGGTGCTGGTTATTGTTTTTGTACTTCCTTACTTTTTTCCTTTGTCTTCTTTTGCGCTACTGGGGTCTGAATCCAGGGCTCTTACAGAGAAGTACATACCCAGCCCTTTAATTTTTTATTTTGATGTAAGTTCTCACTAAATTGCCCATATGAGGCTTGAACTTTCAATTCTCCTGCCTCAGCCCCTGAGTACCCTGCATGACCACCACACCCAGCTCACTTCCTTACCTTCTGACACCACAGAATGCTCTAAGCGCTCCTAAAATTTCCCTCCCCTGACCCTGGAATTGGCCGTCTCTCCTGGGAGCGCCGATTCCTTCTATTGGAGACCTGGGTGGTGGTGCCCTGTGGGGCGGTTTCTTGCTTCCCGCACATCTCAGCAGACAGAGCTCGGAGGTAGGTGCACACCAGTGTGCACTTGCATGTCGGTCTGCAGCTGTACTGAAAACCACGCTGACGGCTCCAGGGCACCACACGGGTTTGTTCTGCTCTTGCTCATTTGCAGCTTTTCCCTGCAGTGCATCTGCAGTGCATTACTCATCTGTGCAATCCCAGAATACTCATACAGAGTTTCGGAGTTGCTAACCCACCTCCCCGTGAAAAAGACATTTTCTAGGTTGAAAGTACTCGTGTGGATCCTTTTGTCGTTAGCCTTCCAGTGGACATCAGAATGGTTTTTCAGCTTTGGCACGTGTGTTCCTTCTCACTCCCTTCAGTGAGCTTAGGTCACTCGTGTGTATTACAGCGTGGTTTCCACATTTGTTACACAGAAATGACCGGATACAAGTGTGTTTGTGTTCATATGGCCCCTTTTTTTACATAAAGGGAATCATACTAGAGATGGAATTTTCAGAATGTAGATTTGAATAGCCCTTTATGCAATTTTATTTTTTCCTGTTTCCAAATATTTTAAGGAAGAGCAATGACTAATCTTTTGTCTCTCATCTCATTAGAGTATACTTTCCTGGGAAATATAAAGTAAATGGTTTGTTTTGTTTTTACTTTTTCACCCAAAAGCCTTTTTTGGTTTTCTGGAACAAATCAGTTTTATAGCTAGTTATTGTATTATATTTTTATTTTTCAGTTAAGGTGTGCTGCCTTTTCGCTCTTCAGTGAGTTAGCCGTGTAAGGGAGGAAGACAGCTGCCTTGGTTCCTGCTCCAAACCAGGACCACCGCCTTCCCTCGCAGTTCTTCCAGTCTGCGTCTTCTTCATAGTGTCACCTGTGCTCTGAGGGTCCGCAGCTCTGCAGTGAAATAGCGACAGACCCTGGTCACCCACGGCCACATGTCACCACAGACCCTTAGAGCCCTGTGCTGGCGTTGCAGGCATGTGCCACCACGCCCGGCTGTTTCTGTACAAAGGGCAGGGAGGTAACCCTGCAGAGGCACACACAGGCTTTGGGAGTGACGGCATCTTGAATTATTTAAGTCTTGGAATCATTACCTAATGGTTATATGACTTTAGACAACACACTGAACATCAGATTTTCTCCTCTGGAAAATGTTTTACCCCTGCAGGCTGTTGTGACAATTAAGAAAATATATATTGGACACCTAATTTCTTTTTCCTTACTCTATATAATGTAGTCTTTTTTAAAAAACTGGGAATCGAACCCAGGGCCCTTGTACTGAGCTACATCCCCAGGCCTCTTTTTAATTTAAGTAAGTTTTTTGCTAAATCACTAAATTGCCCAACCTGGGCTCAAACTTGGAATCCTCTTGCCTCAGCCTCTGAAAATATTAGGATTATGGGAGTGTCCCACCATGCCTCCTACGTATGATCTGTATACAGTAAGTTTTACTTCCTTTAGATGGGCTTAACGAAAGAAATCCTTGATACCTCTATCATTTTCCTGTACATAATCCATCAGAAAGTCCTCTGGCCCTGCTCAGCTTGCCCCAGAACCCATGGTTAATTTGCCTCTAGTAACTGTCTTCAAATTAATTTTATATATTGGTAGATATAAGATCTATTACTAAGTTCTAAATCTAAATTTCTCTAGGTTTTGGGTTTTCAAAGAGTGAGGTACCATAATTCAGACTATTTTTCTAAATTGTAATCTTTTGTTTCCTTTTCATAATTCATCTCTGTGTAGAAAACAGAATTTATGATACCTTAAAATAATTTCAACTTTCTCAAGGAAATGTTGATTTTTACTTTCTATATCATGCCCCCAGTGCTTGCGAATCAATTTTAGGTATTATTCCACTATACTTTTTCTTGTGTTAACTCAGATGTAATTTTTATTCAGTGTTGTCCTTTTTCTGTTGAAAACAAATCACTGTGTTCTAAGGTCCTCTATTGCCGTGATGATGACTGATACTTCCGTCTCATACTTGGGTTTACTCGTCGGTAATGGCTGCATTGCCACTTCGAAGCTTTGCTTTCTTAGAAAATCCAATATGACTGACATAAGACTCTGAAAAGCTACCAGTTCCTCTTCCCCAGCTCCTAGCTTTTCATCCCCTGGATTTTCAACTTCAGTAGTTGAAACAGGCTCCTGAAAATGCTGGCTGTGTATGGTTTTCTTGCCTCATTTGAATGTAGACAATGCACACTGTTGGCAGAACGTTCAAATGCGAATATTTCAGCAGAGCGACTTGCAAGTTCAAGTTGTTGGAGAGCCTCCTTTCCCTCTCACCTCCTAAACCACTGAGATGTGGGTGGCAAGGGGAGGGGGGCTTCAATAACAGAGGAGAAAATCAATAAGCGTGCTAGGAAAAGGAAGACTAGAAGTGGGTCAGAAATCATGACAAATCCCAGGAATGTGTAAAGTAGATAAAACGGGAATGATGGGAACTAGATTCAGCAAACCCAGCCCAAAACAGGTGTAGAGAAGACCTCTGCAGAGGTACATACCGTTCTCAACAAGAGCGGGCAGAACTCCAAGCTCGCAATCAGCTGGTACGAGGGAGCCAGAACAGGCTATGGGGCAACTGCAGGATTGTTATAAAACAACATGGGACAGCTAGGCCAGTAAGCCTCTGTGCAGTTGCTCTCAGCTTTGGCTGAATTTTATCAGGGGAGCTGTTAAAAACCCTGATGCCCAAGCCTCAGACCAGTTAAATAAAAGTCCCAAGGGATGGAACTGCTGGCACACGTATTTTTTTAACTTACCAGGTGATTCCAGTCTGCAGATACAAACTGAAAACTATGAACCTAGGGTCTGGCTGGCTGTGACTTTTACTCTGAAGCTAATGCAAACAAGGCCAGGCTCCAAAGTGAAACAGGGAGCAGCCTCAGAAAACCGCAGGTGTTGGGGCCTGGACCAGAGAGCAACTACATAAAACAGATGCAGATAAAGTGTGAAAAGCCAGCTCTGTGCAACAGCAGATAAAACAAGGGTTCAGCTCCTGAAGTCAGACAGCAGTGCAGAAGGGCATCCCCACCTTCCTGTGTCTGTCATGCTTGGCACATAGTAACTACTCAGTAAATACTTGTGAACTCTTTACTCATAGGCCCCCCACAGTCAGCTCACCCTTGGGAAAAGGCCTGCCATGGAAACACATTCGGTGTTTATAAAAAATTGTGCCACAATCAAAGCACAAAGTTATCTCATGCCTGTAGTCCTATCTACTCTAGGAGGCTGAGACAGGAGGATTACAAGTTCAAGGCCAGCCTGAGCAAATTAGTGAGGTTCTGTCTCAAAATAAAATAAAAGAAGGATTGGAAGTGCAGCTCAATGTTAGAGCACTCTCCCAGCTTTCACGAGGCCCTGGTTTCAATCCCCAGTACTGCCAGGAAAAAAAAAAAAAAAAGGAAAAAATGATGCCAGGTAATTGTAATCATTTGATCATTCTGAACGTTTCCTCTATGCCCAGACAAAAAAATCATTACCAAATATGATGAAAAAATAAAAAGCACTAAGACAAACTAACAAAAAGTAGACAAGAACTTTAAAATACTGATTACTATCTTTAGAGATAGTTACAAGGATATTAGATTTGTAAGTCAAAAAATGAACTTCTCTAAGAAGGAAAAGAAAGACAGGAAAGTTTCTGGAATTAAGAATATGTTCATCAAAATTGAAACTTGGACTGAGAGAGGAAGAGCAGAGTGGGCTTTTCCTAAAAGCTAAACTGGTGACCTGAACAACAGCCAAGGATATCTCAGAACACAGAGGAAAACAAGAGATGAAGGAGAAAGAAAAATGAAAGGATGTGGATGACAAATCCAGAAGAGACAGTAAGCATCTAATCTAATCAAACACATAACAAAACTCCCTGCAAAAGCATTAAGTCTTAAGACTAAAAGGCAGACAGATAGAAGGAGTGATTTTTTCACCTAGATATTTTACCTGGTGAAATTTCTGAATTCCATTGCTTAAAAGAAAATTCTAAACTCTCACAGGGAAAAACAAGTTATATGCAAAGATACAAAAATTGTGTTAGTAACACTCAGTACTAGAAATAGTGCTTTGAGCAGTGTGTATACCGATCAGTATTTTGAACCTAGAATTCTGTACATAGTCTATTGTTTAAGTATAAGAACAAAATTAACCTTTTAGAATATGCAGATTTATGCCCTTCTTGAAAAAAAACTAGTATATACTAAAACATAAAAAATAAACCCAAGAAATAACAGTTCAAGGCATAAGAAACAGTAGTGAACAAAAAAGTAATTCCTGAATTGGATGTATTTATCATGAAAGATATTTGAAGTGGTAGGGCTATAATGTTAAAAATAACATTAAATACAGAAAATAGTCCTAGAATTCATTTGGAACCAGAAGAGACATAGCATAGCAAAAGCAGTTCTGAGCAACAAAGTCAAGGCAGGGTGCATCACAATCCCTAAATTGAAATTATACTACAAAGCTACTGTGATAAAAACAGCATGGTGCTTCCAAAAAAAAAAAAATAGAAAGAAAAAGAAAAAACAGACCTGAGGATCAGTGGAACAGATTAGAAGATGCATAAACAACTCTAAACGCACTTAGCTAGCTTATCTTCAACAAAAGAGCCAAACACCTTCACTGGAAGAGAGACCGCCTCCTTAATAAATGGTGCTGGAAAAACTGGCTTTCCACATGCCAAAGGCTAAAATTAAATCTCT